GATTGTACACGAGATGACCACTCGTGTCAATTTGGGAATTATTTTTGAAGCTTTGAACAAAAAATAATAGTCTGCAATTGCATATGTAAGATAATGGGATAAATTAAAGAATGAATTGAGAAGAGGAGGGAATAGGTCAAGTATAAATATGACTTTTTATCCATCTCAGTAAGGAAATTATTATATCTTCCAGAAACACACACATGAAATGGTCAATGAGTTAAGTACAGTGTTCATCAATTTTAATATGAAACTAATGTTTTCTTGGTGTGGCTGTACTTGAGTCATTGATTACAGCATGTATATACCTATGGCTATGTTGTGATATTATTTCCACCAATTTTAGGTGTAAGATGTCAGTTTTGTTTAAAAGTATCTATATACTAGTATACATTTTAAAGAGTTTGGGTTAGCTGTGTGTGAAATAGTCAGTATTTTCTGAACACTTTAATTGAACAAAAGAATTTCATGCTGAATTGCTAATTTAATTTCAGATTGTATTTCCTATTTTTTACTTTATTTGTAAATGTTAATATACTGTAGTTAATTTTGCAGTTTCTCAGTTTAATACATTGTTTCAACAGAATTTTGGTGTAATGTTTAAATAAATGTAAACTTTTGCTAAATACTTAAAAAGCAGAATGTCCATAAGTGGTAAATTTTAACTCAAAAGTGTGTGTGTGTGTGTGTGTGTGTGTGTGTGTGTGTGTGTGTGTGTGTGTGTGTGTGTGTGTGTGTGTGTGTGTGTGTGTGTGTGTGTGTGTGTGTTTGAGAAATGATACTGACTCGTTGGCTGTAGTACTTTGCTAAATACAATTTTATGTAACTAAATTTTGTATTATCTATTGTAATGCTTATGGTTTCCAGATAGTGAACTTAATTGTAAATTATTTTTTAAGGAAGGCAGATTAATCTCGTTTTATGGACCTCATGGTTCAGTCTGTACTTAAGGATTACTTAGAAAAACCCAGCATCAATAATTTCATTGTCTTTATCCTTGCAGTGATTATATTCACATCTAAATTTTGAACGAGTTATCAGTTATAAGTAAAATTGTATGATTCTTAATTGGGAAACAAATTTGTACCTGAGTTTAGTTTTGTAAACATCCTGGGATGAGAAAGGCATTTAAATAGATATAAAATTTAAAGTTAAAAGTCTTAACATTTTCATTAAGGAGTTTTAAAATGTCAATGGAATTGTCTGCACATTATGCAGCAACAGTGTTGATGGACGGGAACACCCGAGTAATCTGTTCCAGTACTATACTTGTATCAGTTGTTGTTGCTGTACCAGCACCAAAAGTCACAACTATATTAAATGAATTATATTTTTAGTGGAAAAATAAAAGAAAATGGTTCGTAAAACATTTAGAATGTCTTTGTTGGTGTATGTTTGCCACTATATTTTAGAAGTGTGTAACAAGGCCCCTTACCGTTACTAGCACGTGAAGGAACTCTAAACAAAAAGTAGCATCAAAGTATATTAGCATATAATTGGTGTTGAGTAATGTTAGTTATTGTTAGCAAGACAAGAGTCAACACGAGTCACTGTTATTGTAAGACTGTAAGAGTTTATACATTTTCACACTGTATTATGTGCATTATATATACAGTATATATATAGTATGGTCATGTTGCATTTATCTCACAGCATTCTGGCTGAATATACCCAAGCTTGAGGGCAACACCACTTATGAGCCCTCAATGGTACCACTATAAGGTTTCGTCTGGTCTTTTTTAAAAAAAGATAGAATAGTGTGCAGTGTTATTAAAAGCTAAACTGGCTAAGGCTCCTGTAAACTGATGGAAAACCTGCATTAATTTTGTAGACAAATAGTAGTTCAGGTGTTTCCTTCAATCTAGTGTACTTGTGAAATTTTTAAGACAAACAATTGTCAGACATGATGAAAATCCTGGAGATGAGAATACATGAAAGTAGCTAAAACATCAGGCTTAGGACTTAGTGTGGTGCTAAGAGTAAGTGTCCCATTAACTTATTGGTGTTCTTTAAGTTTTGTACTTACTAAGTTGCTTGACGATATGAAATATATGTGAATTGAAATTTGGTTATGTTAAATTTATGTTATCAAAAATTATTTATACATGGAATTAGTATAAAATATCCTTTAGCAAAGGCTGTGTGTGTGTGTGATGACTGAGCTGAGATAGAGGAATGTATATTAATAAAGCAATTCCATCATATACATAATTATCATTTATCCACTGACCCCAGTGTTTTATGAATAGATACAAAACTTAGAATTGTGGAAATGGGTAGAAAGGTTAATGGTTTGAGATTTATCCTATCCACTATTGTTTATGTAGGTTTACTCTATCCACTAATGTTTGTATTAGTATGTTTATTCTACTATTTTTATTAGCTCTGTTTACCCAACCTACTACCCCTCAAGAGTTTCTTTCACCTCCCCCTCCATTGTGTTTCCTTGTCGTGGTGAGGCTTACGTACACCTCTCTGGGTCTGGTGAGGGTTGCCTCTGTCCCCTTTCCTGTCCCTCTTTGGGAGTTGCACGTGCTAACGAAAATAAACGTTAGGGTCCTTGTGAGTCATCGGACCGCCCGCTGGTGGGGGTCGCCTGTGAGTGACTGCCCTAAGTGGATGGTTGGGTGTCCAGGCTGGGGTAAAAGGGAGAATGAGGTCTTTGCACCAGTGTAGGAGAATGGGCGATGCAGTAGGACTCTCCTGTTAAAAAGGGGGAGCACCGCTGGGGGTGATGCACCCCTTCCTACACTGGCCCGCGCTTGGCCTCCCTGGCTGCCCTGGTAGGTGGTATCCCTTGGTTCCAGTCCTCAGATTGTTTAAAATGATTGCTATATGGATGATGACACGACCTCTCTTACCCAGGCCCATGAGTTGGACTGTGCTGGTAGACCGGGCTCTGTAGCCCCCGCTACTTTGGGCCCAGACTGAACTACCCCCCCTCCCTCCTCTGTGGTAGGGTCGAGCCCCAAGCCCCCAGTGGTGACCACCTTGTTCCCTAGTGTGGCTCTATCTCTCATTGTAACTTCTGTGCCTTTTAACCCCCCTAGGAATTATCACCGCCGTCCCTGCCAGGGGCCGCTCTCGCATGCTCCCGAGAGCATACCAGACACGCACGCGTCTGGGATGCTCTCGGCCATAGGTCCGAACCCTCATCACGGCCCTTGAGGATTTGTTCATTTGATGCATCACGCTATTGTGATTTCTGTGTGTAATGAAGTAAGGGCGAAGGATAAGTCAATAGGAAACGGCCTATTGACAGAGCTTGAGTGCATGGGGGAAGTGCGTAAAATCCTGGTTTGTGTCTCGGAGAGGCTGCAAGTAAGGGCAGTAGAACTTCTGGTTGCAATTCGTTTACCATGTCGTAGCGCAGTCGATAAAGGCAGCGTCTGGAATGTTTTCGAACGTTGGTTAGAACCCTCGTCACGGCCCTTCTGGATTTGTTCACCAAGCCTAACTTTGGAGGCTCATTAACAGGATATCGTCAACAGCTACAATTTATATATTTCTTTATATACAAGAAAGTCCATTTGAGTTAAGAGGGTACATAGCAATGATGATTTTACATTCTTGTAAAGCCACCAGCACGCATAGCATTTCGGACAATGGTAGAGGATCATCATTCAGGAACCTAAATAAAGATTCACTTTAATCACTGTACTTCCCCTACATAAGACCAGTCTATGAATATGCCGTCTCATCGTGGCGCTTTCATTTATTATATATACAAGAGGTACATTGGGTTGAGAGAGTACATAATATTATTGTTCTTATATTCTTGCAAAACCTCTAACACATAACGTTTCGAGCGGGTCGTCTTAGAATCTCTTCTTAAAATCAGAATCGGGCTCATCTTAACCTGCAACAGTCTTGGGAGCTTTTTATCACTCAGGCTATGGTGCCAACGTCAGAATTGTCAAAATGATGTACCTTGCATACATCAGATCTTTAGTGGATTATGCTGCACCTCTGTTTGTTTTGATGCCTGAAAGAAAGCTTGGAGGACTTGAAAAATTGCAGAACGAAGCCTTGAAGATTTGGGTGAATATCCTCATATCCTTGGGTGCCCTCGTACCACAAAAATACTTAACATGAAATAGGAACTTAATATTCCGAGCATGGTTAATCGTGTTACCGATATTAACTGTCAAATTGGTTTAAAAATGGCTAGCTCATCCTAACCCTTGCACAGAAGCTCTCCAGAATTTCTTTATTGAAGGTCAGCATTGTTCCAGATGGATAACTAAAAGGAACTGAACTCAAAATGTATCAGGTTTATAATTTGTACCAAGAGAAACAACAACGGCACTAATTAATTGCACCATGGGAGATACTTGTATTCCCAGAGATACGACCTCGTCTTCAGGAGGACACAGCTGCTCTCGAGAAGGTGCAACACCAGGTAACAAAAATCATTATAAAAAAGATAAGTTAATTCTCATACCAGGAACGGTTGAGGGCCTCGGGACTGGTACTGCAGCAGGCATGACACGCCGGATCTCATCGAAACCTTTAAAACCCATTACAGTTTGGAGAATGTTGGTCCAGACAATTTCTTCAAAAGGTCAGATGTAACACAGACAAGGAGCAACGGGTTCAAGGTCAACACGCTACAATGTTGGACTGAAAACAGAGGATGCTCTGTTTTCACCCACAAAGTTATTAACCCATGGAACTGCCTACCCGCCGAAGACGTAAATGTAAAAACTGCTAAATTTTAAAATCCAAATGGAAAAAATCATCAGGGTAAATGGCAGGACCTATTACAATTCGCAGGCTTCCTGTCCTCGTCTAAGTCACTAATGTTAGTGGCCCTCGGGTAAATTGAGGTAAACAGAGGAATAGGATAGAAGTCATTGCATTAGACAACCGGCGGGTAGGAAGGCGGAGGGTCCAAGAGCTGAAGCTCGATCCTTCAGGCACAAATAGATGGATACACAATTTTCACAAGTTACAGAAACAGTCCAGGAACTTTTAACCGATGTTAATTATACAATTTATTCTAAATTACAAAATTTATTAGTTTTGTTCGTATTTATTCCCAATATTTCCTGTATCTCTTAATTACTCTGGACATTATTAGTGTTGCATTCGTCACGTCCGGCGCTCATGTTTCCTCCTACAATGGTGCTTCACTTGTCTTCCAGTTCCCTTTGCTTCCTTGTCTTCAGTTTGTTGCCCGCTGAGATTATTTGGCGTTCTTGGGAGTACGGTGCTGTGACTAGCCTGATCACCTGCCCATAATCCCTTCCACAAATTCCCTCTTCTCAAACCCCCATATCTTCCAAAATTGTTTTCCCTGTTCTAAAGGTAAATTATCTTGACATTAATCTTCGTATTGTCATCGTGAAGGATATTTAACGCATTTTGAATACCTTTCGACTTGAACGGTTCAATAATTCTTCCCAGCCTGGCGCCTTCTCTGATAACTATACTTGGTATTAATCTTAGACTCGTTCTTGTACTCTCGCTGTCGCGACCGTTCACGCCGGGATGTAGATGCCATGGAGGGAGCGAGGGACGTCGGAGGGGGTGGTGAAGGAGACGCGGGCGACCTCGGTCATGTCCCCAGCTGCGAGGACCAGGAGGGTGACCTTGGTCTTGTCGTCGGCGTGAAGCAGCGTCACCAGCACCACGCCGTCGTCCTCACTCTACGCCAAACAATATCAATCAACTTTTACAAATATATGATAAAAAAAGGGTCATGGCAATACAGTTGGGTTCGTTCTCGACGCACAATCGAAAATTCCGGGTTCGAATCCCAGGCGGGACAGAAATGGTTGGACACATTGGCTTTCACCTAATGGTCCTGTTCACCTAGCAGTGAGTAGGTACTCAGGAGTTTGTCAGCTTGTTATGGGGTTGTATCCTGGGCGGGGTCGGTAATTCAGCTTTTAAGGAGGGGGGGTGGGGACTTCGATACAAGCCTATAGCCTGTATTAACACACACTGGCTTCCTGTCCCGACACAATGAATTATTATAATTATCAAATAAATGAGCACATGAATCGGGGAAATTCATTACATATATACAAATAACGAATAATGAAGACATATTATCACTAAGCAATTCTCTGTCTGAGAGAGGAAGCTTCTATGTACAGTATATGGACTTATCGAGGTCGAGGTAAGACTTATCGAGATAAGCCTTACACGTCTGGCTTACCGTGGCTCCTGGTCGAGGCACGAAGTAAGCCACGCTGGTATAGAGACCGTCCTCGCTCCAGTCCTTCGTCTCCCGGGAGTCGAGGTCCACCTTGCCGACCTGCAGCGGGAGAAACGCTGTCATTAAAATATCACACTAACGGGGCTGAGACCAATAACGTCACTCACACGTTTGGGTTGATAGATGATGATACGGTCCGTCCTGAACCCCTTGTTATGTCTTTATACACACCTAGAGAGACTTAGTTGTGAAAACAAACATCAACATGTCCTTAGGTAAGGGAAATAATGCCTAACGAACCTACTATGACAAAGTAATGAGAACAAGGCAAGACAGAAGTGTGGGCTGATGAGTAAGGAATTACCTAAGAGACAGGAGCCAGAGAGTAACAGTATGGGACGAGGAAGAGGACTGGCGTAGGACTGACAAGCGGAGTACCTCGAAGATCGGTGCTGGGATTCTAATATTTCTCATATGTATATGAGAAGAGTTGTGAGAGATAAGGATTGTATGTTTCTCCAAGATGACAAACAAGTTGCAGAGTTGGTCTGAGAAATGGCTACTGAAGTTCAAGACCAGCAAGTGTAAAACGATGGGAACAGGTGACAGGAGAACAAAGGGACAGTACACAACGAAGAGAAACTACCTCCCTGTAACGACTAGAGAAAACACCTGGGAGTGGACATAGCACCAAATGAATACATAAATTCCAGGGAGGAAAATAGGGTAACGATAGCAGCATACTCTACGCTAGCAAAGGTCAGATCATCATTCAGGAACCTAAATAAGAAGGCAATATAGTTCGCGGTACACGCCAACGTGATACCAGTTTTAGAATATGGCTGGATCTATGGAGAGACTCGTTGGCAGCTGTTGGGTGTGGACGTGTCGTTCGTGGCGCTCGCCAGTTCTACCCTAGTGGCTGTGTGAGGAGGGTGTCTGTGACGGCTGTGGGGGTGTTGTCCCCTGGGTGGGCGTGGCACCCCTGTTGAGGAGACATTGGGTCTTACCGGCCTCCATTGAAGAGGACCTCGTCGGCTGGTCTGGCTTTTACGGTGCCAGTAGACCACTTGTTGGTTGGTGTTGCCCTGGGGGATGTTCCCCATGTGCAGTTGTCGGAATTGGTGGGCGTCCAGCTGCTGCAGGGGAACCGCGCCGTGGTCAAGTTTCGCCATCAGGCTGCATTTCAGGCGTTTCTGGGGCGGTGTGCGGGGCGTGTTTACCCTCTCTCTGATGCCGCCGGTTCTGTTAAGGTAGTGAACCTCAGCGTCGCCTTGACGTTTTTGTCGGTGCGTGGTGCCCCCTTCGAGTTTAACGACGCTCTCCTAACTGCTGTGTTTGGACGGTTTGGTACTGTGCTAAGCATTCGTTGGGACAAGGTACTTGCTGGGCACTGTGCTGGGATGCTTGACGGTTCCCGCACCCTGACCATGTCTCTGAAGAGTAGTGTTCCGTCGTCTGTGTCCGTGTTGGGTTACACGCTCCGTTGCCAGTATCATGGGCAACCGCGCACCTGTTACAGGTGTGGTAATGTGGGCCATCTCGCTGCAGCGTGCGACGTGGGAGCAACTGGCAGGGTGCATGTTTTTCGTGAGGACTTTCCACCCCTGTTGACTTCGGACGCTTCTGAGGATGGAGTGAGTGCTGTGCCTGAGGCGCCTGATTGCTTGTCTGCTGCTTTGCCTGTTGAGGCGGTTACTATGCCTTATACGTCCAGTCTGTTACCTGCTGTGGCCCCGGAGGTAGTTGTTGCGCCGGAGTGTACGAGTGTCGGGCCGTCGCCCGCACTGCGTGTGGTGGATGTCCCAGTGGATGTCCATGTCCCGCCCCCGTCTGTGGATGTGGTATCAGCTCCCGGGGACGCGGGTCCTGTTGTTGTGGAGGGGGTGCTTCGGCGGGAGGAGGTGCCTGCCGTGTCTGTGTGTTGGCGACTGTAGTTCTGCTCTTTCCATCCCTTTACAGAAGCGTGCGCGTCGGTCTTCTGAGGCTGTTTCCCTGGATGATGTGGACAGTGTGGGTGATGTGGCCTCTGTGGACTCTTCGGACGGTGCGGGTGTGGCCTGTGTGGATGTGAAGATGGTGGCCGTGCCTGCGGCGGGGCCTGCTGGGCGTGGTGTGGTGCGGCCTGTCTCGAAGCGTTCTCGGCGGGCTCGGAGTGAGTCTCCCCTTCGTGGTGTGCCTTGGGAGGAGGTGGGGGAGTATGGTGATCTGGCTTCCCCCGCCGTGGATGATGGTGCTGTGAGGGGCTCCGAAGTTGCTACCTGTGCCCCCCCCCCTCCTGCGTCGCCTGCTGTTAGCTCTCCACAGTGGGGGGTTGTCCCTGATGATCGGGACCTCGTCGTGGTGTTGCGGAAAGATGTGCGCCGGGGGCCTCGGCTCCTGTGCCCGGTGGTGGGGTCGATGCCGCGCCTGCATCCCCTGCGGTTCCCCCTCCTTCGTTGCCCCGGTTTGGGGGAAGCCTCGTCCCGGCTGCTGGGGTCGTGCCCTGTGAGGGTCCGGTGTTGGGCCCTTATCGGGATGCCCGGGTGCTTCCGGTCCCGTGGTGCTCGTCCACTGTCTGGGTGTCGCGGGTGAAGGAGTTTGTGTATAGGGTGCCGGATAAGATGTCTCAGCCGAGGCCACCGCCTGGTGGCCAGGTGCCCGATGACACGTGGGTGGTTTGGGAGGCGTACTGCTTGCGCTTTCCGATATACAAGTTCCCGGAGAAGTATTAGTTCACGTCTGATCAGCTGCTGCCGTGACCTCGTCGCCCCGCCCTACGGTGCTGGGAGTCTCCCTCTAACGTCCGCCTCTGTTTTCGTCGCCACTCCTCTCTCTACGACCCGTCACGTCTAACACTTTTGACTTGCTTCTCCTCCTTAACGTCAACGCGTCTCCCTACATTTGTCCTGGTGCAGTCATCGGGAGGGTAAACTCTTCATGCAAACTGCACCTATTCTCGTGAAGAAGAAGAAGAAGAATATGGCTGCCCCTTCCCCTCACCCCGAAAAAAGAACACAAAAACTCGAGACGGCACAGAAGTCTGAGACGAGGCTCTTCCCAGACGTGCGAGGGATGGGAAATGAAGAGTAACTGAAAGAATTAAACCTGACGACGCTAGGAGAGAGAGGGGGAAAATAATAGACGTATGAAATACTCGGGGAGAATTGAAAGTGGGAAAAAAGAGGAAATGTTCACATTGGATACCAATAGCTCAAGAAGGCACGGATGGATGCTACAGACTCAGATATGTTACAAAGTTTTCTTTTAGCGTAGTGGGAAAATGGAATGAACTGGCTGCATAAGTGCACGGGCACGCACATACACGCACGCACACATGTACACACACAAGTACACACACACACACACACACACACACACACACACACACACACACACACACACACACACACACACACACACACACACACACACCAGAAAATGAGGGGACGACGCCGTTTCGGTCCGTCGAGGACCATTATCAAGTCGACTGTAATGGTTCATAATTATAATGGATTGTAATGGTGATAATGATCCAGAACGAACCGAAACATCATCTTCTCCTCATCTTCTGGCGCGTGATGTAGTCTTCCATATCTTCAGCTAGAGTATTGTGCCTCAGCGTGTACACACACACACAGTGCCTCACCTTGCCAGTGGTGGAGGTCATGTTGCCAGAGCTGCCGTAGAAGTAGCGGTACCTCTTGCCGACGTAGCTGGGGTTGAGTGTGGGGATCTCGTAGGCGTAGTCAGTGATCACTTCTGGGGTGAGGAGGAGCGAGCCGTCCTTCAGCCTGTGGGCCTTGGCCTTGCTGCCCGGGAGCATCACCTGGCATACACAAAACACATCTCTTCATATTGCAGCCCTCAACTTCACTTCCACCTGACAGTTTAATTAGACAACGCCCATTTTGGCTAGAACGGGACCTGTATTTTGGCTAGAACTGGACCTATATTTTAGCTAGAACTGGACCTGTATTTTAGCTAGAACTGGACCTGTATTTTAGCTAGAACTGGACCTGTATTTTGGCTAGAACTGGACCTGTATTTTGGCTAGAACTGGACCTGTATTTTAGCTAGAACTGGACCTGTATTTTGGCTAGAACTGGACCTGTATTTTAGCTAGAACTGGACCTGTATTTTAGCTAGAACTGGACCTGTATTTTAGCTAGAACTGGACCTGTATTTTAGCTAGAACTGGACCTGTATTTTGGCTAGAACTGGACCTGTATTTTGGCTAGAACTGGACCTGTATTTTGGCTAGAACTGGACCTGTATTTTAGCTAGAACTGGACCTGTATTTTGGCTAGAACTGGACCTGTATTTTAGCTAGAACTGGACCTGTATTTTAGCTAGAACTGGACCTGTATTTTAGCTACAACTGGACCTGTATTTTAGCTAGAACTGGACCTGTATTTTAGCTAGAACTGGACCTGTATTTTAGCTAGAACTGGACCTGTATTTTAGCTAGAACTGGACCTGTATTTTAGCTAGAACTGGACCTGTATTTTGGCTAGAACTGGACCTGTATTTTGGCTAGAACTGGACCTGTATTTTGGCTAGAACTGGACCTGTATTTTAGCTAGAACTGGACCTGTATTTTGGCTAGAACTGGACCTGCATTTTAGCTAGAACTGGACCTGTATTTTGGCTAGAACTGGACCTGTATTTTGGCTAGAACTGGACCTGTATTTTGGCTAGAACTGGACCTGTATTTTGGCTAGAACTGGACCTGTATTTTGGCTAGAACTGGACCTGTATTTTAGCTGGAACTGGACCTGTATTTTGGCTAGAACGGGACCTGTATTTTGGCTAGAACGGGACCTGTATTTTGGCTAGAACTGGACCTGTATTTTGGCTAGAACTGGACCTGTATTTTATTTTAGCTTTTAATCATCTCAAGACGGAGAGATTGGGAAACAGGGGAAGAAATGGAGATCTGGAGAGGGCAAGTGGGGGTGGAGGCTCATGGTAACCTGTATTTTAATGTAAGCCATCAAGTTAGGAAATAAACAAGAACTATTAGAGAAACCTGTCCTTGCCTACCAGGCCTAGTAGCGCGGTTCTAGACACGAGACATTGAGGGTACTCACCAGGTTGAGTTCTGGGGCTGCCTTCTCCGACACGCCAAGAGGCACGACTATTCTCTTGACATTGCCGCCATCCAGTTCATTGCCAAGGTTAGCGCCCTTCTCCTGGGGTCAGAGGGAAGCAGATTTGTTAATTATAGGTTCTGCCAGCCGATTACTTCTCACCTCGTTTCTGAAAGAATTAAAGTGCCTTCCAGCATCACCATACGTTATCCGGGCATGTCAGGAGATGGTAATGGTGATGAGAATAGCGTTATACCGCTATCCAGGTTTGGGATAGCGAAAAGGTAACCCGTTCTGTAAGTCAGCGGTCACACCGCCCTCTCCGGTTCATCTGTGTCTCCATCTCCATCTCTCCATCGGGAGCCGATCGGCCGAGTGGACCGCACACTGCACTTGTGATTCTGTGGTCCTGGGTTCGATCCCAGGCGCCGGCGAGAAACAATGGGCAGAGTTTCTTTCACCCTATGCCTCTGTTACCTAGCAGTAAAATAGGTACCTGGGTGTTAGTCAGCTGTCACGGGCTGCTTCCTGGGGGTGGAGGCCTGGTCGAGGACCGGGCCGCGGGGACACTAAAGCCCCGAAATCATCTCAAGATAACCAAGATCTTCCACTCAACATTGTCTATCATGTAAATTTTCCTTAATATCTACCGTTACATAAATAAATCACACTAACGTGATATATATCGACGAGAAAATCTATTGGAACATTGAAGCGACTCGAACAATCGTTCAGTTTTTTCCCCAGTCGCGCACCTTACCCCTGTACTACGACATGGTACAAGTTGTACAGCTTGGGATTCCACAGGCACATCAGCCACCAAGATGATGTTATTAAAACAAGACTAAAACCAGTGCACTAAAACAGAAGCGAAAAAAAGAAACAGGGAAAATGGAGGAAACCCCACCTACAGTTCAATCTTTGACTCAAATATCACAGTAACAAGGTTATCGCGAATAACCGAACTCAATTACGGGCTCACATGAACATTTCGTTCTGAGTAGCTAAATCTGAAACAACAGATTTCTCAGGATGTCACGGAGCCAGATTCACGAAGCAGTTACGCAAATACTTACGAACGTGTACATCTTTCTTCAATCTTTGATGGCTTTATTTAAATTTATTAAACAGTTTACAAGCATGAAAACTCTCTAATCAACTGTTGTTATTGTTACAAACAGCCTCCTGGTGCTTCGGAGCTCATTAACTGTTTAATAATTGTAAACAAAGCCGCCATAGATTGAGGAAAGATGTTCAGGTTCGTAAGTGCTTGCGTAACTGCTTCTGGTGAATCTGGCCCCTGGTCCACAGGTAACGTGCGTGACTGAGAAAATTTATTTATTTATTTTAATTATTTAACTGTTCCTGAACACTAGTCCGAATCATCTTATTCCAATTGATTCTCTCATTGATATACATTATAAAAGTAAAATTTATGTGTAACAGATATTAAGAGAAACTGACATGATAAACAGAGGCAATGTTGAGTGGAAGCTGGAGAGACACAGATGAACCGGAGAGATTGATAAATTCGACGCGAGTAATACAGTTATAAAATAGAAGATCTGGGATCAAACAGGAAATGGAAAGCTGGGTAGACTGCATATTCTTAAACTACTAAAACACCTTCGACACTGTATATCACAGGAGATGACATTGTATACCACAGGAGATGGCATAGTATACCACAGAAGATGACATAGTATACCACAGAAGATGACATTGTATACCACAGGAGATGACATAGTATACCACAGAAGATGACATTGTATACCACAGGAGACAGAAACTGTGAAAGAGGCTGTGACAGGAGAAAATCACTGAATTATTTAAAAGAATACCCAACAGCCAGAAATCAGTCACAGTAAGGGAAGAGATGAATCAATTTAGAGAAAGAACAATTTGATTTCCACAAAATCAAGCTGTAGAAGCCACACTTCCAAGTATATATAAAAGTCTAGTTGAAGAATCATACATGGCGATGTCTGTAAATGATGCCAAGGTGATGCATTAATTTCCGAGAAAGTATGCGTCACATTGGCAATAAAAGATATGGGGGAGACTTGATCGCGACATACAATGTAACCAGGTGTCAAGAGAGCCACGTACAACCCAAATCAGTTCCCAACATACACACAACCTAACCCCAATGATATTTAAAAGTTGTAGAACTAATAACGTTGCTGCAAAGTTGTGGTCAGATTGTATATGTTGGTTGTAAGACCTACTCTGAGATTCTTGGTTGTAAGACCTACTCTGAGATTCTTGGTTGTAAGACCTACTCTGAGATTCTTGGTTGTAAGACCTACTCTGAGATTCTTGGTTGTAAGACCTACTCTGAGATTCTTGGTCGTAAGACCTACTCTGAGATTCTTGGTTGTAAGACCTACTCTGAGATTCTTGGTTGTAAGACCTACTCTGAGATTCTTGGTTGTAAGACCTACTCTGAGATTCTTGATTGTAAGACCTAATCTGAGATTCTTGGTCGTAAGACCTACTCTGAGATTCTTGGTTGTAAGACCTACTCTGAGATTCTTGGTTGTAAGACCTACTCTGAGATTCTTGGTCGTAAGACCTACTCTGAGATTCTTGGTTGTAAGACCTACTCTGAGATTCTTGGTTATAAGACCTACTCTGAGATTCTTGGTCGTAAGACCTACTCTGAGATTCTTGGTCGTAGGACCTACTCTGAGATTCTTGGTTGTAAGACCTACTCTGAGATTCTTGGTTGTAAGACCTACTCTGAGATTCTTGGTCGTAAGACCTGCTCTGAGATTCTTGGTCGTAAGACCTACTCTGAGATTCTTGGTTGTAAGACCTACTCTGAGATTCTTGAGGTGGAAGGCGTGTAGGAGGTCCGGCTTCTTGTAGCCATTGACGTCGATAACGAGGTGGTTGTCTCTCTCGTAGCAGTTGATGATGTGCATGTAGAAGAACGCCTCACACTTCACCTTCTGCTTCACCTCCTTGCCCGTCTCCCGGTTCACCAGATGAATCTTCACCTGGTGGCATAAAGCACAATAAACATGTGTTATGGAGGGAGAGAGAGACAGAGAGAGAGAGAGAGAGAGAGAGAGAGAGAGAGAGAGAGAGAGACAGAGAGAGAGAGAGAGAGAGAGAGAGAGAGAGAGAGAGAGAGAGAGAGAGAGAGAGACAGAGAGAGAGAGAGAGAGAGAGAGAGAGAGAGAGAGAGAGAGAGAGAGAGAGAGAGAGAGAGAGAGAGAGAGAGAGAGAGAGAGACAGAGACAGAGACAGAGAGAGAGAGAGAGAGAGAGAAAGAGAGAATTTTTTTGACAAGAGAGGTAAGGCAATTGTCAGGACAAAGCACTAACCCATTACGACTATAAAAACACTGGGAAGGGATCAGGATAAGGGTTCTGGATGGGACGGGGGAAAGGAATGGTGCCCAGTCACCTGGACGGTCGGGGATTGAATCCCGACCTGCAAGAAACGAGACTGTCGTCGTTGTTGTTTTAGGATTCAGCTACTGTGAACAAAGTTTCCATGTAGCACGGGCTATTGTGAGCCCGTAAGCGAGACTGTCGCTCTACCGTCCAGGTCAAGTGACTGGACTTTTGAAGAGTTCACAACTTTCAAACCCTGTTTGTGACGGTAAAAAAGGACATAAAAGATGCTTCTCTTACATGTCTGCACCCCTCTACCCGGCCTGAGCCCCTATCCAACATACCCGAGCCCCTATCCAACATACCCGAGCCCCTATCCAACATACCCGAGCCCCTATCCAACATACCCGAGCCCCTATGCAACATACCCGAGCCCCTATCCAACATACCCGAGCCCCTATCCAACATACCCGAGCGCCTATCTTACATACCCGAGCCCCTATCCAACATACCCGAGCGCCTATCCTACATACCCGAGCCCCTATCCAACATACCCGAGCCCCTATCCAACATACCCGAGCCCCTATCCAACATACCCGAGCCCCTATCCAACATATCCGAGCCCCTATCCAACATACCCGAGCCCCTATCCAACATACCCGAGCCCCTATCCAACATACCCGAGCCCCTATCCAACATACCCGAGCCCCTATCCAACATACCCGAGCCCCTATCCAATACATGCAAGCACTGTCTTACCAACTTGTCCTCCAGCCACTCCATACCACCAATGAAGGGCTTGTCGCGGATGGTGTTGGCGACCATGGCCTTGACGTCGATGGTGAGGGGCTGCTCCAGCAGGATGAAGAACGACTCGGAGAGGCCGAAGGTGTGCATATGGCAGGGATTGAGCTTCCAGCGCGCGTCTACCGTCCCGAGCTTCTTGGGCTTGACGAAGACGGTGCCTGAGGGAGGGAAGACGGGAGGTGGTGAGGGAAGGGAGTGTGCACTCCACTAGATACAACACACTCCAGGGAGTATATTGTGTCCGTGTTTACCTCCCACAATTCTCCACGTCGTCTACGATAACATGTGGATCAAGGGACGCGAGAACGCTTATATGAGGAGAAAGTAATGATGCCATACGATTGGATTTAACCCGTGTTCCTGTGGGGCCAGATTCACGAAAGCACTTACGAAAGTACTCACGAACGTGTAAATCATTCCTCAATCTTTGACGGCTTTGGTTACATTTATTAAACAGTTTACAAGCATGAAAACTTGCCAATCAACTGTTGTTATTGTTATAAACAGCCTCCTGGTGCTTCGGAGCTCATTAACTGTTTAATAATTGGAAACAAAGCCGCCAAAGATTGAGAAAAGATGTACAGGTTCGTAAGTGCTTGCGTGAATCTGGTTCCTGGACTCCTCAGGCGCACATAGCACCTACTGAACCACGATGAGATTAAGAAGGATATCAACCACACGTGCTAAGGTACATGGTACCATACTTGCGTGAATTGTGGAAGCGGACCAGGAGGCCTGGTCGACGACCGGGCCGCGGGGACGCTAAACCCCGGAAGCACCTCAAGGTAACCTCAAGGTAACCTCAAGGTAACCTCAAGGTAGGCAAGGAACTTCCGAATTCCACTCAGGCCAGATTGTACCTCCGATTGATATATATCAGAGCTCATTATGGTTCAGTCGGTAGTACGTGTGTGCCTGGAAAGTCCAGAGAAGCGAGTTCGAACCCACTGCATGGCTTCAATTTAATATATACATATAACAAAGCCGCCATGATTTACGAAAGATGTACATGTTTCGCAAGAGATTGTGTAAATGCTTTATGAATCCTGGCCATGACAAAGCGAAGTTGGCCTAGTACTCACTCTTGCCGTCTCCGGGGGAGGCAGGGAAGGCGACGATGTCGTACTTGGGCCCCGTGGCGCCGACGCCGTGTAGGATGTTGAAGGTGGTGCCGTCGGCCAGCCGGCGAGGGTTGGGGCAGTGTGAGTTGATCCCCAGCTCCTTGTGGAGGTCCACCTGCACCACCACCATCACATGTTAGTTACCACGCACACCACCTTCACCAAGTGGCGCCACTGCACACAATATGTTGCCATAACATGGCGCAAAATTATATAACTCTTCAGTCACATGTGAAGAGTGGTGACGTCCTGGACCCCTTGTCAAGTTCTGGACCCCCCTTGTCACGTTCTGGACCCCCCTTGTCAAGTCCTGGACCCTTTGTCAAGTCCTGGACCCTTTGTCAAGTCCTGGACCTTCCTTGTCAAGTCCTGGACACCTTGTCAAGTGGTGCTGAATCAGCACCACCACCACAACTTAGCATCGCTGAGCATACCAGCACCAACAACCACACTCAGCAAATCATACATAAGATACACAGCTTCATACGACCTTGTGAAAAATTCTCATGAGTTCTCTCATACAAACAAAACACTGATCCCACTCTCTCTCTCTCTCTCTCTCTCTCTCTCTTTTCACAAACAGCTGCCACTCACCCATGTTCCATAGACCACCTCTCCTGCTGTTTACACTCGCCTCACCTCTCTCGACTTGCTCACTCGATCACTGTCAGCAACCCGTCCTCTTAAAAATAACGTCACTTTTGGCTCGTATGCGCACTATGGCCAAATTTGTACGTAATTTGAAATGAAATCGACTCACAAAAGTGACGTACTGTTCCGTTTTCTGTTTGAGGCGCCCGGCTTACTCGGCAAGCTTAGAAGAGGCAACTTTCCAGTCACGTTTTTCATACACCTTTGTCTCCTGCCACACTCATACTTCGTCAGTTCATCCTAAATCTTGCCATTTTGCACCCAACATCTTTCCGGGACGTTAATGTCTTAATCTTTTCTGCCACCAGTCATGCTTATATTATATATATAATTATACACTTAAGGCTTTTATCAAGGTTGCAACTCCACAACAATTGCCTATTTACTGCTAGGTGAGCCATTAAGAATGAGACGTGACAATACATTTGTGCCCCGCATGGTAACTGAACCAAATTTCTAGTCGAGAACAAAAGTCAACCGACCAAGCCTACTTGGGTGTATGGCAGGTCCCGTTTGTGGCCTTAACCTCACCTTACTGAGGGTGTCGAGGGTGACGGGGTCGATCTTGTGAAGGAAGGGCGCCTCTGTAATACAGTAGTACTCCCCGCCGAAGACAACCACCCCGACAGGAGCGTTGTCCGAGAACATCTTGTCGAAGGCGAACTTGTCGCCCAACCTGTAGCAAGAGGCACAAGATTATGTGCCGAAACGCTATGCGTACTAGTGGCTTTAGGTATTGTATGTACTATCTCTATCTTTAAATCTAACATTATGTATGTAACTCAATGTATGTACCTTTACCTGAATAAAAAAAATTATCAAGTTGAGACCCTCGGTGATCCTTCCTCCCCCTCCCCCCAAACTGACTTTTCCCTGCGACTTGCTTCAGAAATTTGCTAAATTTGTGTTCTGGTATAAATTATTTTGAAGAAAAGTTTGATGCCGAAACAAAATAAATAGATGAAGTTATCAAAATGTACCCCCTACCAATATAAACACGAGAAGCACAACACAGCACAAGAGCCACAGAGTTACCACAAGAGCCACAACACAGCACAAGAGCCACAACACAGCACAAGAGCCACAACACAGCACAAGAGCCACAGTGTTACCACAAGAGCCACAACACAGCACAAGAGCCACACATCCACATGGATCCTTGAGGAAGTAGTCTTAAGGCATCCTACCAGCAGGACTACCAAGTATGGCAACAGTACGCACTATAAAGCCAGTGCTCGGGGGTTATTACAACCATCGCTGAATACAGAGACCTCGTGAGAAATCCGACAACAATTGCAATGAGACATACCTGAAGCTAATCGGCCACAGTGAGAGAGAGCAATGATCACACTTCTCAGAAACTTTAACCAATGGGAAAGATGACGAAGAAATCTTTCTTGGGAGACCGAACATGCAGAGCGAGATAAGTAGACACAACAGACAAAAACTTCCAGTGGCAGCGTGTCAAGCAACCAAGACAAGAAAAAGGAGAGGGCTCACCAGCTACCTTTGACCTGGTGTTAACCCAAAATGAAAACTACGTAGAAAACTATAAAAGCGAGATGCCACTAGGAGCCAGCTACCACTTTTTATTGGGTTCGATAACATCGTGGAACTTGGAGAGGGAGTCCAGGAAGCAGGGTAAAAAGCACGAGTGAATAGAGGACTGTAGAAGGGTTAGGGCCAACCAGATGTTCAAGTGAAGACTGGAATGGAAAGAAAATCAGTGAATGAGATGATGAGACTCATACACGGAAGTGCATTTAAGCAAAGGAACAGTTCAAACCCTAAAGACAAGAAAACAGCAAACTCAAAGTCCCCTTAGGTGTTTAGGTTCTCTGTTGGCGATGATTTGTGTTTGTAGTGCGTGGCTGAAGCATTTACAGCGGCCCGCCCTCAGACCAAGTCCATTCTTTCCCAGCCCGTCCTCCAAAGAAAGACCCAAAAGTGATTCCATCCACCCGCCAAACCCCCCAGCTGTTTATGAATGAAAAACGGTTTACAAACGACTCACAACTGATGCCGTTCGAACACTTCCGGAACAAGTGCTTCACTGACGAATTTTGTTCGAACCACAACGCTGTAAATGCTTCACCCACGTACTACAAATGCAAATAATCGCCAACAGAACCTAAACACCTAACCTAACCTATGCCTATATATGCACAATATGCTAATATATTATAATATTAATTTATATTTGAGAAAATTCCTGTTTTGAATGAACAGCATGTAAACATTTATGAATGCGTCTGTGGGGTCGACCGCTGGATGGAATGGACTTGAGTCGCAACCCGTCCTCGACTCAATTCCATTACATCCAGCGGTCGACCCCACAGACGCATTCATAAATTTTAATATGCTGTTCATTCAAAACGGGAATTTTCTCAAGTATAAATTAATATTATAATATATTAGCATATTGTGCATATATAGGCATAAGTTAGGTTAGGTTAGGTGTTTAGGTTCTGTTGGCGATTATTTGTATTTGTAGTACGTGGGTGAAGCATTTATAGCGTTGTGATTCGAACAAAATTCGTCAGTGAAGCACTTGTTCCGGATAGGTTCGAACGTCAGCAGTTGTGAGTCGTGTGTAAACCGCTTTTCATTCATAAACAGGGGGTTTGGCGGGTGCATGGAATCACTTTTGGATTTTTGTTTGAAGGACGGGCTGTGAGTCGAGGACGGGCTGGGGACTGAACCCACAAGCCAAAAATCTTGAGGCCCATCCAGCCCGTCCTCCAAACAAAGATCCAAAAGTGATTCCATGCACCCGCCAAACCCCCAGCTGTTTATGAATGAAAAGCGGTTTACACACGACTCACAACTGCTGACGTTCGAACCTATCCGGAACAAGTGCTTCACTGACGAATTTTGTTCGAATCACAACGCTATAAATGCTTCACCCACGTACTACAAATACAAATAATCGCCAACAGAACCTAAACACCTAACCTAACCTAACTTATGCCTATATATGCACAATATGCTAATATATTATAATATTAATTTATACTTGAGAAAATTCCCGTTTTGAATGAACAGCAAGTTAAAATATATGAATGCGTCTGTGGGGTTGACCGCTGAATGTAATGGACTTGAGTCGAGGACGGGTTGGGCACATCATGGTCTAGTGAGTCGGTAATGTGTTCACGGTCGAGGATTCCAGGCATGTGGGTTCGATTCCACTGTACTGCTTCCATATCTTCTCATAATTTAGACCGTCATCGCATACAAAGATCTAAGCTCGTTAATCCAGCCACCTAACCCCCTGTTTATGAGTGAAAAGCTGTTTACACACGACTCACAACTGATGACGTCCGTTAACACTTCCGGAACAAGTGCTTCGCTCACGTTCTCTGTTCGAACCACAATTCAATTAAAGCTTCACCCACGAACTTTAAATACAAATAATCACCAACAGAACAAAACACCTAACCCAACCAACGCCTAACTATACATATAAATTTTCTGTATAATAATATTTATAAATTAGAACAAAGGAATGTTTAATACACAGTATATTAAAGTTGATGACTGCGTCTGGGGAGGACGGCCGCTGCCCTAAACAGCCAAGTGTGAGGACGGGATGAACAAGTACGTACTTGCTGAGCTTATTTTTGGCGACTGACTTCCCTGTCGTGCCGAACTCAGAGACCACAATTTGCTGGTGCTCGAGGTTGGTGGTGTAGGCGTAGCTCCGGAGGAACTTGCTGGTGAAGGTGACGCCCGTCTCCCCGAAGGTGAACTTCTGCAGGAGCGCCGAGCCGTCGAACACATGGTTGAACTCGTACTCCCCGTAGGTCATCCGCCCGGGTCCGTCCAGGAGGTAGGCGCCCCGCAGCCAGGCCGGCACCGTGCCTGTGACACAGTAAATGGCACTATTATTCATGGCGAGGGCATCAACACCTTGCACGTTGTTGATATCGACAATATCCGACTTGTGATATATATGTGATATATCAATATCACAGGTCGGAATCGTCTCTTAACAGCAAATACCACATTTTTTTTAATTAATACTAAATATATGGACGTGGGATGGGTAGGTTTGTGTGGGGGAGGGGTTTGTGTGGGGGAGGGGTTTGTGTGGGGGAGGGGTTTGTGTGGGGGAGGGGGTTGTGTGGGGGAGGGGTTTGTGTGGGGGGGAGGGGTTTGTGTATGGGAGGGGTTTGTGTGGGGGAGGGGTTTGTGTGGGGGTGGGGTTTGTGTGTGGGGGAGGGGTTTGTGTGGGGGAGGGGCTTGTGTGGGGGAGGGGCTTGTGTGGGGAGAGGTTTGTGTGGGGGAGGGGTTTGTGTATGGGAGGGGCTTGTGTGGGGGAGGGGTTTGTGTGGGGGGAGGGGTTTGTGTGGGGGAGGGGTTTGTGTGGGGGAGGGGTTTGTGTGGGGGAGGGGCTTGTGTGGGGGAGGGGTTTGTGTGGGGGAGGGGCTTGTGTGGGGGAGGGGCTTGTGTGGGGGAGGGGCTTGTGTGGGGGAGGGGCTTGTGATGGTAAGTTTTATGGGACATAGATCAAGATAAAATCCCTTGTTACCAAGACGCTGCTCTAACCAATCAGTGGCCCAGATAACGCTAACATGATCCACGACGCAGTGGTCCACTTGATCGAAGGTCACTTTCGTGTTCGTTTTCAATACATGCATTCATACATACATACATGCACGGGCAATGGCACAGGCTCCTGTGGTGTATACATGTATGCTGAATACGCGTGTGGGAAGCACCTCAGCTATCTCACACATATACAGATGCACACATTTTAGTAACGAGTGTGTGTGTAGAGGTCATGACCCCTGGGTGATAACAGCAAATGACAAAATCAAAACGCCTTTTTAAAACTCCCAAATGTCTAAGAAAATTACTAAGTCCCCCACCAAGGAAACTATATAACATGCCACTTAACTAAGAGAGTTACAAGTCAATATATATACAAGTACACTGATAACTTAGAAACACAGTTATGCACAAATAATCAATGTCTTAACACACAAAACTAGGAACATTCCTACATGCTCAAGAGAGTACCACAACCCCCCAGACCAACAACAGGCTGCGAGATCCAGTAAGTTCAGTAGAACTTCGGTTTCAACTTTTTTTTTTTTCAATGTCGTAGCTCAGTTGATTAAGGCAGCGTCTGGGATGCTCCCGAACGCAGGTTCGAATCCTCACCAACAGCCACCCAGCCTGTCCTCCAAACAAAGATCCAAAAGTGATTCCATGCACCCGCCAACCCCCCAGCTGTTTATGAATGAAAAACGGTTTACACACGACTCACAACTGCTGACGTTCGAACATATCCGGAACAAGTGCTTCACTGACGAATTTTGTTCGAATCACAACGCTATAAATGCTTCACCCACGTACTACAAATACAAATAATCGCCAACAGAACCTAAACACCTAACCTAACCTATGCCTATATATACACAATATGCTAATATATTATAATATTAATTTATACTTGAGAAAATTCCCGTTTTGAATGAACAGCATATTAAAATTTATGAATACGTCTGTGGGGTCGACCGCTGGATGTAATGGACTTGAGTCGAGGACGGGTTGCAGCCACCACAACTCCCAGACTAGTGAGCCATGTGGGGCTAGTCCACACCCACAGGTCAACTAACAAATACCAACCAAATATAATACAATATATACCCTCTCGGAGCACTAAAAACCAGTTTAAATATACCCGAGTTCTCCATTTTAGAAACTAGAACATAGGCAAATGTTTTTAGTCAACACTAATAATAATATACGATAGTAATTTAATAAACATTGGCTGCCCTGAGGCACGAGGCGCCTATACAGAATGGGCAGCTCGCGTGTCATTCAAACAAGCAATTCAAATTACTCGAAACAATACATTGGAATATTTAAATATATACACAATAGACATACACACTTGCAGGTGTACAACACTACCCAAGGTGAACATATAAAGGGTGTCGTGTGGACAGTTGGTCAATATAGTTATGTCACGAGTATTGTGCAGGGAGGGAGGGAGTATTGTGCAGGGAGGGAGTATTGTGCAGGGAGGGAGGGAACACTGTGCAGGGAGGGAGTATTGTGCAGGGAGGGAGGGAGTATTGTGCAGGGAGGGAGGGAGTATTGTGCAGGGAGGGAGGGAACACTGTGCAGGGAGGGAGTATTGTGGAGGGAGGGAGGAACACTGTGCAGGGAGGGAGCACTGTGCAGGGAGGGAGTATTGTGCAGGGACAATCTTACAATCATCATCAACAAGGACAAATCGAGAACAATCGCCTTAAATCGGAAGTTAATTACACAAAATCGGATCCTGCGGCATAATGGTCTACGTTCTAGACATAATCGAGGGACCCGAGTATTATTCCTAGGCAGGATAGAAACAGTTGGCCAAACTTCATTTCACCTGATGCCTCGGTTCACCCGACTGTGGAATAGGCTGCCTCGAGGTGTTGTGTTACTGACCAAGTGGGGAACTTTAACAACAGATTTTCTTCCCCAAATGACGGGAATTAAACCAGCCAACAAGTCACATTAAACCCAAGAACGAATGTTCATTAGACGAGACTCAGAAAACACTGAACATCTGAGGTCACTGGCTGTTCAGTGCTCTCCCCGCGAGCATGTGAAGCATTGCCCTGAACACAAGTGAACAGGTTCCTGCTAGTAGCACCAAACCAGCCGGGCTGTGGTGTGTGTGGGCTGGCGGGCCCCAGGCATTGAACAGCCCGCAGCACCATGGTTTGACTACTCAAGCCGGGCTCCAGGCCGGGCTTGTGGAGTGGAACTCCCACTCCAGGTATACTCCAGGCATACTTCAGGTATGCTAGAGGGTAAACCTCCATTAGACACCGATCAGGTTGGGAATAAGTTGATCAACTAGCACATCAAACAGCTCATCGCTCTACTTGGGATGAACATAAACACTTGGGAACTGTGGTGTGAATTATTCGCCCGGCTGAGTATTCACAGTACCGTCAACAAGTGTAACCTGGCCCGGTACACAGTCTTACCTCTCACGGTACCCTCCAGAGGTGTTGGCTGCTCCTCCAGGGCGTTCCTGTCCCACGTAGTGAAGTCGTACGGCATTGTGACGGTGAGTGACGGCTGGGTGACGGTGGGTGGAGGAGACAGCTAGCGCGGGCGCCACTGGCCGACTGCCACACTGAGCGTCCTCCAAGATTATATATCCCGATGGTAGTCGACACCAGCTTATCTCCTGACTGTGTGCCTCGCCTCGCTCGTCCTCGGTGAGGCGCTGGACGAGGGCCCCCACACCACACCACACACAGCGAGGTGCTGGACGAGGGCCCTCACACCACACACAGCGAGGTGCTGGACGAGGGCCCTCACACCACACACAGCGAGGTGCTGGACGAGGGCCCCCACACCACACCACACACAGCGAGGTGCTGGACGAGGGCCCCCACACCACACACAGCGAGGTGCTGGACGAGGGCCCCCACACCACACCACACACACACGAGGTGCTGGACGAGGGCCCTCACACCACACACAGCGAGGCCCTGGACGAGGGCCCCCACACCACACACAGCGAGGTGCTGGACGAGGGCCCCCACACCACACACACACACAGGTGCTGGACGAGGGCCCCCACACCACAACATACACAGCGAGGTGCTGGACGAGGGCCCCACACCACACACAGCGAGGTGCTGGACGAGGGCCCCACACCACACACAGCGAGGTGCTGGACGAGGGCCCTCACACCACACACAGCGAGGTGCTGGACGAGGGCCCCCACACCACACACAGCGAGGTGCTGGACGAGGGCCCCCACACCACACACAGCGAGGTGCTGGACGAGGGCCCCACACCACACACAGCGAGGTGCTGGACGAGGGCCCCCACACCACACACAGCGAGGTGCTGGACGAGGGCCCCACACCACACCACACACAGCGAGGTGCTGGACGAGGGCCCTCACACCACACACAGCGAGGTGCTGGACGAGGGCCCCCACACCACACCACACACAGCGGTGCTGGACGAGGGCCCTCACACCACACACAGCGAGGTGCTGGACGAGGGCCCCCACACCACAACATGCACAGCGAGGTGCTGGACGAGGGCCCCCACACCACACACAGCGAGGTGCTGGACGAGGGCCCCCACACCACACCACACACAGCGAGGTGCTGGACGAGGGCCCTCACACCACACACAGCGAGGTGCTGGACGAGGGCCCCCACACCACACCACACACAGCGAGGTGCTGGACGAGGGCCCCCACACCACACCACACACAGCGAGGTGCTGGACGAGGGCCCTCACACCACACACAGCGAGGTGCTGGACGAGGGCCCCCACACCACACCACACACAGCGAGGTGCTGGACGAGGGCCCCCACACCACAACATACACAGCGAGGTGCTGGACGAGGGCCCCCACACCACACCACACACAGCGAGGCCCTGGACGAGGGCCCCCACACCACACACAGCGAGGCCCTGGACGAGGGCCCCCACACCACACAACAGCACAATAAGTATTTGGTGGTGCCAGACATCACAACTTAGTTAATCAGCGGTAACTCGAGCAAGGGGGGAGGGGGGAGGGAGCGCTTGTTAATGCCATCAACTTAATTGGCGCTTTGTGGTGGTTCTGGACCCAGGGGGGGGGGGGGGGGGGGACGAGGAGGTGCCAATAGGTTATAAATTGGAACGGGTGATGGTCAAGTACTTACCTATCTGTACATACCTATATCTGTACTATGTATCAGTACCTACGGGGAAGTGAGGTCCAGCTGTTTATGCTCCGTCTAAGAGCCTTGTTCGGCCTGTTGCCTGACAATGATATTACTTTGACGCTCAAATTCTCTGTCAAATTTGACCTTAAAGTCTGAGGATGGAGGTGGCTTCCACAACTTGTTCTTTCACTGCTTGTCCATCCGTTCAGGGTGTCGGAAAGTCCGACACCATTTAATAATAATATCATACAGACAGATAAGAGCTGTGTTGTATAAACAAGTTAACCATAGAAAACGTAACTTGTAGTGGAATTACCGTCTAAAGAAAACGGGATATCATCACCACATACTATTATAATTCACCAGCTATTCTGCTGGGAATTATTCTTAATTACATTAGTCTTTGGACTTTACCATCATAAAAACATCTTATATAAATTAACTTAATTATCAATATTAAAGTAGAGTAAATGTGACCCTTCTATCACTTTCTGAAATCTGGACAAAGTAGGCCAGGCGTCAGTGGGGAAGGAGGGAGCCATTGTTGTGTCACCTCCGAGACGTGTGGAGCAAATTCGGCTCCTATCATTCTGGACAATGTCGGCCAGTAACGTCAATACTATGGAGTGTTAAACAGCCGTTGTTTATATGAGACCAGAGGCTCACACGGGAGCAAATTCGGCTCCTGTTAATTTTACTTGGACGTAGTGTTATGGAAACCAGAAGGGTACCATTGTCAACACGCTGTCTACAAATTCAAGTTAAGTGTCTATCCGAAACCCGTTTATCATTCATTTATGGCCATTAATGTCAGGATATAGGGTGACCCGGTTAGATCACTTGGAAGCCTCAAACTAAAGGTAATTAAGCCAGGTCTTCATGTTCCATGTACTGTATAGTGTTTTCTCTGATATAGCTTGTCATATATAGGATTCTGGCTTCACAGCTAGCGCACTTTTGACAGGTCAAGACGAGGATGCAAGATTTGTGCACCAGTTACTGGGTGATATGGAAGCTACCTCAAAGAGGATAATTTGGTGTCTACACCCTAGTTATACCTGGTGGACTAACCTGCTGTACAAATAAGATAAGGAACCTCTTTAATGTATGTAGTTATTTCTGTAGTTTGATTGGCTGCATATATATATTAATTAATAAACCCCCCTAATGTGTAGAGGATCGATTTGTGAGATTATGAGATTATTGCAGAAATACAGTCCACTTATCATTATACAAATTGCTATCGAAGTATATAAATTAACGTAAATATAAATTCTATATATATTCATATAAATTAAGTAAATATAAATCTCACAGGTCGGTTCCCACATTATTTGGTCCTTCGAACCGGATGACGGATTATTTGATCCTTTGAACCCACATTTGGTCATCTTAGTACCGGATGAACCAGTTAACCAGTGGATTCATTAAATATACTAGTGCAGTGTTATTTAAACAAAGCCAGCAGTCAAGACGGCAGCGTAGCCTCGAGGGAGCTCAGGAGCCTCCCTCAGCCCAGTTCAGCTTCGTCAGCGGTTTCATGCACACCCACAGATATTTGGTGGCGTGTTATTTCGTGAAATGACAGCGCTAATATAGAATCCAGCCAAATTAGTGACTGTGTCTTCGCGAGATTGTTCACGGATTTCGTGGTGTTACATTTCGCGAGAGATTATCTACGAATTTTGTGGACTTTATTTCGCGAGGTCACTAATAATATTTAATACTTCTAGATAATATTAGAAGTTTCATAGAGGCTAATTAAGAGGCTATTATCAATAATTGTGTATATTATTTCTCCAAAATAGAGAATTATTTAATATATATTGCACTAGTGATCACAGTATAATATTTACTAATTGCCAACCCACAACAGGGTAGGATATTAACCATTGACTAGTTGAACTATTATTGCTCATCCTAGTCCCATTATTACCATAGTCAGTTGTACTATATTGAACAACCTAACACCATTAATGAATGGTCCAGACCCTATTTTGGGTGTAATTTTTATCAACTCGAGTTGAGTTGTATATATAATAAATTACTTATGATCATTACACCTTTGAGTGATTAATTAGTGTCTCTACCATCCTAGGGTGATATAGAAGAGCTAACCTAAAGGTACTTCCTGTGACACTGGTTTATCACTCAAATCATTAGTGTGTATGATTGTATATATATAATGTGTATTAATTTTAAGTGCTAACCTCTAGTAGAGGTAGGATTATTGCCTAGTGAGTTCAGAATTTACCCTAGGCTACCATTAGTGTTTGTTCAGTATTATGAGCAGCCCAAGTACAAGCCCCACAAGGCTTCACCAACGAGCCAGTATGGATAATGCAGGGAGAATGAAAAGAACCCTTGCAGGTCTTAAAGGCCACTTAACAAGACAGATCAAGAAATGTGAAGATTTGTCACAACAATCTCAAGTTGATTATGCTGACCTGGAAAGCTATTATCAAGCAGCTGCAGGTAAATTTGAGCAAATCAAATGCCAAATGGCTGTCCTTGTAGGGACAGACTACTACCATCAATTCATTGGTAGCCCTACTAAATATCAGGGTATAACCATGTTAAACTCTGCAGGAGGTAAATTACTCTCAGGCCCAGTATCAAGCCTGAGGAGACCTATGCCTGCAGATAAACAATACCAGTAGAAACCTAAATTTGTCAGCTGATTATATTTCTCCAGTAGCATTATACTAAGGAGATTACAGCTGACTATAGTAACAGAGGTTGATGTTAGTATCATCATATAAAGCTGAAGATGAGTTCATGAGGCCTCAGTGGCAAATCAGTGAACAGTAGCCTAAAACAGCTACAAGTCACTGCGACCAATGTCACTGATCCCACTGCAGTCTCAGAACCATACTTTACTTTAATGATGAGCTATTCAATCCTCTGAATCAATTAACTAAATTAAACCCCAATAAATCTGATGACTGATTTGATACATTTATTATTTAATCAAGATGTATTCCATGGGCCTCAGTGTTTATATATCAGTGACCAGTTACCTGAAGAAACTTCAAGTTATATCTAATGTCACTGATCTCACTGCAGTCCCTGAATCATACTTGACTGTAGTACTTGATCACATTCAGTCTTCTGGGTTAAATAATATGTAATAAGGCTTGAATATTAGCCTTTCAAGAGTTGACAGGGAAATGAAATTGCATTAGACTTCTAACCCCTGCAACTCTAGTACGGGACATCCGTCCTGTACGATCAGACGCACAAATGTGTGATTACTAACTACTAACATCAAATTAATGTAATAATTCGATGGAGGAGTATCGGTGTTCGTCTGTTCTAATAGGACTTCGACCCGTGAGCAGCCCCCTGGGGAATTATGTCGGAAAGTCCGACACCATTTAATAATAATATCATACAGACAGATAAGAGCTGTGTTGTATAAACAAGTTACCCATAGAAAACGTAACTTGTAGTGGAATTACCGTCT